CGCATAAAAATTGTCCCCTAAAGATTGTACCCTAACTCAAAATCTTGAAACATCAATTCCGATTGAAGAACAGAAGAAGAATCCCAGGAATTAGAGGAGGATGCGGATCTCATATCATGATCATTCTGAGCAGCCCACCACATGCAGCTATCCTTAGAAGAACCACCCACTTCTTTAAAGCAATCAAATTCAGGCACTTGTTCAGGTTGTGACATGAAACCCTCCGCCTTGTCGTTAAGAAATTCATCCACTTGCACAAAGTTTGAAACTTGATGAACCCCAGATGCTAATTCACCTGAACTTGGGATCTCATAAGGAAGAGACACAGAATTGGTGTGAAAGAAATCAGCTTCCTTGGGTGGTTGAGTGGCTTGAAGATGATTAGGGTTTTGATTGTTTAGAGGCAGGAGGGATTGAAATTTCTTTTCCTGCATGGGGTGGAGCTTGGGCCATAGCTGAGGGTGTGTGTAGAAAGAGAGTGGATTGTGAAGGCCTTGAAGTTGCATATGGAGTTGAATCCTTTCCAAGGCTGAGTTACTCAAACCCTCTTTGGGGTCTTCATTGGTAGTTGATGAAGGTGAAATCCCATTATTGGTATTTGATTGTTTTGGTTTTCCAAGTAGTTTCTTTTTCAGCTTTGTGTTCCAATAGTTTTTGATGTCATTATCAGTTCTTCCAGGCAGCTGGGCAGCAATTACAGACCACCTAAAAAGACACAACCATAGAATTCCAAGACAATCAGCCTCTGACAAAGGGAAAAAACCAACACTCTAAAACTTCAAATATATAAAATTGGTATATAAGAGAGAATCAAGGACAAGGAAGAAAGACAAGTAGACCAATTCAGATCTAGTAACATGGATAGCTAAACTAATTTTGAAAGTTTTGGTTGGAATTTGGGGTCAAACCTGCTGCCAATGCTTATATAGAGGTTGCAAATGATGGTGTCCTCTTCCTCCGAGAATCCACCATGTTTGATATTAGGTCTCAAATAATTCAACCATCTCAATCTGCAACTCTTTCCACATCTCTTCAGCCCTTCAATTTTGAATCCAAAAACAAAACATTTCAGAACCCTAGAAATGAAGTTGAGACAAAAAAAAAAAAAAAAAAAGAGTTTGTTATATTTCTACAATATTATACCAATTTTTTGAGGAAGAGCAATCCAGTTTCCTCCAGTTCCATGCTGTTCAATATAAGCTTTAAGCTTTGCATCTTCTTCAGGTGACCATGGCCCTTTCTTGACACTGGCTTTATCACAACATGGAGCTCGACCCATTTTTGGTTCTTCTTCTGCTTACTACACCTTTCCTGGATCCTGTAGGGTTTTTGTGTTTGGAAAGAATGGAGGAAGAAGACCCTGGCTTTATAGGTTGAAAAAGTGGGGGAAATCTCTTTGCTTTGTATTACTTTATTTATGATTTTTCAGTACAAAAAGTAAAGTCTTCTCTCCGCTCAACCTCTCCCCCTTTACAACCCCCTAAATTAACCCCATATCATTTGTGGAATCATTAATTACTCTATCTCTCTTACTTTTTGGATTAGTTCGGTCCTGCATCTTAAACAATTCAAGCAACTGGCCACGCCACAAATTTAAAACTTACCCTTAACTTTTTTAAATCTATTCATTTAGTGATGGGGAGGTGTTATAGAACCTCCTCCATCCTGTCCCTTTGTCGCCATTCTCCTGCAAAAGAAAAAATGTTCATCATATATTATGAAGTTGAATAATTTGGAATGAAATTCTTGGTGTGGACAATTCACCATATATTTTATAACAATGTTCTTCTCTCATCTTCAACCTGGTATATGGGAATTGATTAAGTAACATTCGAAACCCACTACTAGTAAATATTGTCCGTTTTGGCTCGTTACGTATCGTCGTCAGCCTCATGGTTTTAAAATGCATCTACTAGGAAGAAATGTTTCGTTCTCCTTTCCAACCAATGTGGTATCTCATAATCCACTCCCTTGAGGGTTAGTGTCCTCACTGCCACATCGTCTAGTGTCTAGCTCTGATACCATTTGTAACAGCTCAAGTCCACTACTAGCAAATATTGTTTGCTTTAGCCCGCTAAGTATCATTGTTAGCCTCACAGTTTTAAAACGTGTCTACTATGGACAAGGTTTAGCCCTACTCCGACCAATGCCTTGCAACGTCCGGTGTTTGGCTCTGATACCATTTGTTACCACCCAAGCCAACCACTAACAAATATTGTCCTCCTTGGAATTCCATTCTAGACTTCTCCTCAAAGTTCTAAAACGCGTTTGCTAGGAAGAGGTTTTCACATACTTATAAGAAATGTTTGGTTCCTGAATCCCATCGATATGAATCCCATCGATATGAAATCTCTAAGAAGCTAGCAAGGGAGACTTATACTTGTTCACCTGTGCATGTCAGCCACATGCTTGGTTACCAGGCATGACCAAGCCATTTCCTTTCAAAAAATCTTTCACCCCATGAATGAATCTTTTATTTTTGGTTAATGCCAATCTGTGATTGAATTAGAGAGGAAAAGAAGGGCCATACTTGTTTTGCCTGTAATTTATTTGATAAATATTTGTGTCGATGACTTTTGGAATTAAGAAATGTAGGCTCCAAGGAACCGCACCCACATAGAAATTACAACTCGAAAAGCAACAAAACAACACGAAATTCCTAATAAACTACTCACTCTTTCAATATTTAATACTCAAGTTTCCAATTTGAGTGAGATCCTTAGCGGCAATCACAGCATTCTTCTGCTTGTCTCTCCCCACACCAAGAATCTTATATCCAATGACACGGACCTTTCGGTTTCATCACCAAATTAGACCCATCTAATCTCAACACTTAGAAATCCTTGTAGATAAGATCAGGATATGCATCATTTCTTATTCAACCAAAACATGAAGTGAGAAATAGAGATAGAACGAGAAACTATAAAGTATTTGATGTGGAATATTTGGTGGCATTATGATTGTTCTAAGTTGTTTAAAGTTGACTAATTAGGGTGAGCTTATTTGAAGTCCATGTTCAAACATCCTACATAACAACAAATCAAATTTTGTTTAGTTTCTTTGTTGCTCTACCAACCCTTCTCCCTCGCTAATATTTATACAATGTTTGGTATAATGCTAGGAGTAATGCGTTATTCAAAGCGGGGATTAAGAAATGATTGCCTTCTCTTAAAAAAAAATTCATAATCTCAAATTCCAATGAGTTTAGATGCTCTTATTATAATTATTTAAAGATAATCAATCCGTAAACATCGTAAGTCAAACAAAGAGGAGTAGTTCATTAGTTCGATAAGAAATGAAGTGTTTAAAAGAATTTAAAGTCAACAAGATGCACTTCCTTTTCGTAATTTAATCATAAGAACTTCACGGTTAAACATGTTTTACTTGAAGCAACTCTATATTAGGTGACCTTCTATGAACTTGGACTTTTTTCAAGACGCATGTGAGTGAGGACAAACCATGTTGGAAGCACTCGTGTAGGAGTAGATAACGTGATCATGTCGCATGGAATGCATGAGAATGATGTGAGATCCCACGTCGGTTTAGATGCTTTGATCAAACATGTCAACTCGAGCTTGCAAAGCATTCCAAATGATAACCGAGATTAGTAATTGGATAACTTTAGAACTATACTAACAAATTATTGTCAAACCCTTTACGCGTTGATTATCTTCAAAATTTGGTAACCAAACCAACCACTTTATATAAAAGAAAAAAAAAAGTCCAATATTCGTTGATTTAAATATATACCAGTTAATCCTTTTACCACGGTATATATATATATTATATAGGAATTCTTTTATATAAATAAATAATATTTAGCCAAAGTTTCTTTCTTTTTAATAATAATAATAATCATCTAACAACTACGTACTTTGACTTTTGGTTATAGATGTCAAAGAACAATAATTCAAAATTTATTACTTTTCTTTTCTTCAAATTTAGTCTATTAGTTTCCCTTGTGTTTTCTTATATGAAAATTTAATGTTATATGAATCAATTTAAGCTAAAAAAAACATGGACGAAGTTGTAGTGTTGTTACTAAAAGCAGTTGACTGTAATATTAAATGCTAGAGGTAGCAGCATAGCTTGAAGAAGACAGGGTAAGGTGAAGGATTGTTGTCACTGAGCTTGACTCCATGGATGTAGCGATTGGAGAAAGAAGATTTGGTAAAACCCAAAGTCAAATGGCTTGAAAAAGAGACTTCAGGAATATGCATGGATTCGGAGTGGTTGGAATGATAATGTTCTTGTTTTGGTTTTCTAAGTTAAATCTTCATTCATCGACTTTACCTCTTGTCTACAAACAATATAGTTCTATGTCTCATAATCATTATAGTGTTTGTTGTTCATCAAGGGGATGAATTGTCAATACATTTGTTTATACCCTTAAAAATGTATTATCATTTGCAACAATTTTGAATTTTGTGGACAAATCTTATTTCGACTTCGAAACAATCCTATTGAAACTATTGTCGATGCACAAAACACTGTGTTAGCAAAAACCATTGTTGTCCACATAGACCATCTTTATTGAGAGGGGTAGCTTATTGAGATTGATATGGATTGTTTTTCGTAAATAAATACGGAGACAATATAGCTTCACATCTTATCATCATATTCTTGGAAGGTGGCATTTGCTTTGTATATGTACATCTTGTAAAAGTCAAAGCTCCCTATTAATAAATAACGTTGTTCGTTTTGATCTGTATAATCGTCAATTTCATAATTTTAAAATGCGTATGTTAGGGAGAGGTTTCCACACCTTTTACAAGGAATGCTTCGTTCCCTCTACCATCGATGGAGATTTCACAATCCAACTCTTTTGAGGGTCAGTGTCTTTACTGACACACCATTTGATGATAACATTTGTAACCGTCTAACCTACCCAAATGAATAGGACTGAACCAATAGGAGATCAGAGGCTGTGGGACTGGCCGGTGGCCACTGGTGCAGCATATTCACAATCCATTTTCTCTGCTTCGTTCTGTTTATGGCTAACCTACTTTCACCTCCCTGGTCCCATCTCTTTCCCTCCTCTGCTTGAAACTCTTAAACCCACCTGCAGCTGCAAAACCCCAATTATCCATTCTACCCTTGTTCTGTTCCACAGCTCCCCACCACCACCATGCTTCGCCTCCGCCGCAGCTGCCAACACTTTCGCCAACCATTTATCAAATTCCTATCCACTGCCGTCACTCCTCCGCCTCCTCCCCACCTCCCTCTCTCCCATCCCACTTACATTGTTTGGGGCTCCAACACTTCCGTTGGTAAATCCTTAGTTTCCGCCGGCCTCGCTTCCTCCTTTCTCCTCTCCGATTCTCCCTCCCAATTCCTCTACCTCAAGCCCATACAAACCGGCTTCCCTTCCGATTCCGATTCCCGTTTCGTCTTCCAGAAGATATCCTCCTTATTTCAACGCCGCAAAGCTCACCTCTCCCTTCTGGCCTCCGACCACGTTCTCAAGGCTTCTCTCCCCGTACTTAACTCCGTCTCCGGTTGCGGAATTGTCAATGGTAACGAATTGGCAATGTGTGACCTGGGTCGGTATGAAGATCAGCTATTGGTGGGACAGGAATCGGGTATAGGTTCGAGGCTAATCTGTAAGACCATGTACGCATGGAAAGAGGCAGTGTCGCCGCATTTGGCAGCTGAAAGGGAAAGCGGGCCGGTGGACGATGCCGTTGTGCTACAGTCCCTGCAGAGTTGCTTGACTACTGGATTGGAAGCGAGTGGCGAGAGTGATGATGCAAAAACCAAAGCCATGTGTCTCGTCGAGACAGCCGGTGGGGTTGCTAGTCCAGGCCCTTCTGGGTCCCTTCAATGTGACTTATACAGGTGCCTACAAGATTCTATTGTTGTACCACGTAGTATTGATTATTCTACTAGTACTTCACTGCCCTGCCCTGCTTTTATTTTTAATTTAAGGACGGAGCATAGCATAGGAAGAATTTTACCGATTGCAGAAATGGAAAATGCCACGAGGAAAATTTCAGTTCTAAGCGATATTGCAATTGCCAAATAATTAACTAACCTGAATTCGTCTCGGTTGGATTCTGGATCTACTCCAGATGTTCAATAATTCTTTTGAAATGAACAGTTTCTCTTAACGTGTTTGTTTACAATAGCTGGACCTCTCTGTTGCTCGCATTTTGGGTACACCCTATTGTGATAATGAATATTCTGTTTTTTCTTCATCCTCTTACCCCTTTTGGCGGCAGGACATTTCAATTAAATTTTCCGGCTAGAATTGAGAATGTTAAGTGGATTTGTTCTTTTGTTCTTTATATTCTGTTTATTTGAAATTCATAGAGGAACTTTTAGTGAGTAGGCAATCATGGTTAAAAATTAATCAGTTGACATATCTGATCATTTTCCTTCAGAGAATGATCGTATTTAACACGATGAAATTTTGCTCTGATACCATAACAAGTGTTAATGAAGGAGTAAGAGTTTTATTAATATCGAATAAACTCTATCCTAAAGATGATATATCCCTTAAGTATATACAGACACATAAACTTTAATGAATAACAGATACAAATGCAGCTATTACAAACTTTAACACATAAACTAGTATGAATCATAGGTCTTAGCGGCTAAGTTTACTTGAATCCTGAATTTCAGATTTTTATTTCATTCTATCAGGCCTTTTCGCTTGCCCTGCCTTCTTGTTGGTGATGGTCAGCTGGGTGGTATTTCTGGAACAATTTCAGCGTATGAGACTTTGAAACTTCGAGGTTACGATGTTGCTGCCATTATCTTTGCTGATAATGGGCTTGCTAATGAAGTGCCGTTAAGCTCTCATCTTCGAAATAGGTAAATTGCAGTAGTTTTGATTTTACTTCGTATGAGGGAAGTACACATGCACGGCCGTGGCAGGCGACGTGCTATTCTATGGCATTGGTGTTTCTTAATAGGAATAACTGTATTAAAAAAAATTAGTTGCAGAAGTGTAAGTGCTAGAAATTGTCAAGGGAAGGTGGATAAAGTGGCCGCTAGTATGACATCATGCTATTCCATTCCTCCTGACTAATTATCTTTTTCTAATCTACGGTTATAAAATTTTCACTTCAATTTATATTTCAGCTTTGAGGCATGTTCATTTACTTTTTCCTTTTAGGGTGCCAGTTCTTGTGCTACCTCCCATTCCAGCTGATATAACAGACGATCTGATGGATTGGTTCGATTCCTCTCGGAACGTATTTGATTCTCTGAAGGAAATATTGTTATCAGCTCATTCAAAAAAAATTAACAACTTGCGAGAAATGCCTAAAAAGGCAATGAATGTCTTTTGGTGGCCATTCACCCAGCATAAACTTGTGGCAGATGAAGCTGTTACAGTAATTGATTCTCGCTGTGGTGAGAACTTCACTGTTTTCAAGGTGCAACTCAACATTGTTGTTACTGAATAATATATTTACATATAGTTACATATGTTTTCTGCTTATAGCCTTATACAGTTGGAGTCTCCGTGCATATGGTGCATATTCGTGGATGTCTGCATTTTTATTTTCAAAATTTTAATATTAGTTTGATAAAATTTATTCAATAAACATTATATCCAAGCGTGCAAGTCTTTATTTATGCAAATATTTTCCACAATGTGAAGAAATTGTAACATCAGTTAGGAGTAGAATTTGTCTAATAGATCTGTGTTGAATACTAATTTTGATCTTTTGACTTCACGTATATCAATTATTTTAATATGCTGCCTTTGAAACTGACACTACCTTGATTCTGCATGCGTTTATGATTTTTCATATTCGATTTGCACGTAGCATACAAAATTATAGTAACATATTATGTTTGCACTGCATGTTCTATATAGGATCAGGGCAGTGAATTTATGACTCAACAATTTGATGCCTGTGCCAGTTGGTGGACACAAGGCCCTGATGCTGCCTTACAGGTCAATTCTTGATCGTTGTTTCTTTTATTTCTCTATGCATTTAAGTTGTTGCAGTTAGTGTTATTGGTTTCATTTAGTTTGAAGTTTTGGCTATTCTCTCAATTTAAAAAAAATAAAAAGGTGAAGAACAAATACCGTAATCCCAGTGTCCTTGTACCTTCCCTAATCATTTCACAACTGCAAACATGGATGTGTATTAAGGGTATATATTAATCACTATCTAGTTTGCATGTCCAAGGAATCTCGGTTCTAACTAGAGTGAATCAGGAAGAATTTGGAGGCAACTAAAGAATGATGTTATGTGACAATTGCTTATAACATTTGATTGTTAGAAAACTCAGGTTTTAGTATCTTAGACTCATTCTTACTAGCAGAAAGTTAAATAATCATTTTACTTTTTACTAGTAATCTTTGTTGTAGATTCATAATGTCATCAAGGCTTTTTTGTTAAACTACTTGCCCTTTTTCATTTCTTTGATCATAATCTTGAAATGATAAACTACAGTGCTCCTTTTTGCTCTTATGATATATCTATGCATATAGCTGTGGAATTCTTATATTTCTTTGTAATAGCAAGCATACCCCCCATGTTTTTGCTTTAACGCACCTTCTGTTTAGGTTTTCTCAGACTGAGCTAGCAAGTGATATGGGTTATGCTACTGCAAGATTCGGGCACGTAATGTTTCCAGAGAATGTGTATGAACCAGCTTTGGAATGTGCAGAGCTTTTACTTGATGGTGTTGGAAAAGGTTATTACCTTACTGTTTTAACCTATTTTTCCATATAGTCAGGTCATGTATTTATTAATTCTTCACACATTTAGGCATGTTCCATATTGATCACTTATATTTTAGATTTTTCTGACTCCCAATTACCATTCTACTCTGCAGCGTAAAATTTGATTCAGTTATAAATCAAATACCCATAATTGAAATAGTTTGCCATGGAGTTCACATATGGTTAATTATTTGTCCAGTTCATATATTTCACGATCACCTCTTCCAAGATAAACTTAATGAACCTACGCTCGAATAAGAAGTCCTTGACTGCAACTGTACCTTGTAAATGGACATTTTTAGTTACCTTAAATCTTATTGATAGTCAGCGGATACAAATAAGAAAGTAGGTTGGAAGAAAGAATAATGATAGTGGTTGTTGAATGAGAGAGTAGGGTTATTTCTTCCATCCTATCTTTTTTTTTTTTTATTAAAAAAAAAAAAAAAAAGAGTTGGTTCTTCCTCCATATTTTCTCTCTGCTTAGATCTGTTTGTTTTTGTTAGATTATTATGTATATTGCGGATAAATAATGCTTAAAACTTAAGATATTTATTTTATAATTTCCATCGGCACGTACACATTGTTATGAGTGGCTTTGAGAGGTTTGAATTTTCTTATCTGAATTATCTTCGATTCCAGAAAAAAGTATTCACACCTATAAATTTTCTAGCTAAGAAGTTAATCTATTTGTTGTACAGTTGTACTAGACACCAGATTAGTAATTGTTATGTGAAATGTCAACCCATTTGCTTTTTCACATTCGGTTTCGTTGCAAGTGTCTTAACTACACTGATAAAATAAAATGGAAGCGAGAATAATTGAACGATGAATCATTATTAACTGAATAAGTGATTCGAGGATTTTGTAATCTGGAAGTGTTGTGCAAGTTATGCTAACCTATAGTTCCAGAGGAGGATGTGTTAGCCTTTTCCTTCATTTTATTTTCTAATTGTTTCGACTAGTTTATACACCTTTATTTTACATCAAGACTCCATTTTTTGCAGGTTGGGCTTCTAGGGTGTATTTCTCAGATAATGGATCTACCGCTATTGAAATTGCACTAAAGATGGCCTTTCGGAAGTTTTCTTTTGACCATGGAATCCATGATGCTCAAGAATGCAATGCGGAAGCACCGCGTCCTGAGCTTATGGTAAGGTGGTTGCAATAAATCTATGCTAGAGAAGTTTATGGGATTCTCTGTATTGTTCATCATGATTAGGAGTACAGAAAACTCTCTTCCAAACTCAAGGACATAGAGTAGTACAATCTAACAGACGTGTAGTCAGTGGTTTATTATTGCAATAAGCACCCTTTTCCTATCTAATTATTTTCCCATACTCTATATCTTCACTTTAGCAGAGAACGCAAAATATCTAGGTAGTACTTGGCTACCCATGGTCTTGACTACAGAAATTCATTAGTTTGTTCCACATGTTAGTTTGACTGACACTGAATTATAATCACGCACAAAATTATGGTGCAAGTTTTTGAAAGAACTTTTGTCGGTGACATTATAAAGATTTACTATTCCAGGTCTTGGCTCTCAATGGATCATATCATGGTGATACATTAGGAGCTATGGAAGCCCAGGCACCCTCATGTTATACAGGCTTCCTGCAGCAACCATGGTATAGATTTTTGTATTCAGAATTACGGTTCCTTATAGACTGCTGCATCTGTTAACACAAGAAGATTTTAGTTAACAGATCAAAGTGTAATTCAAACTATATGTTAACAGAAAACCGATAGTTTGTTTAGCCCATTCCTTGGACTTTCATCTGTTAACAAAAGATTTTAGTTAATGCACGAAAGAGGTTAATACTGAAGGTCCTTGGGAACATGTTAATATCACTTTTTGCATAATCACAACAGGTATTCTGGAAGAGGTGTTTTTTTGGATCCTCCTACAGTCTACATGCACGGAGGTAAATGGTATCTTTCATTGCCAGTTGGATTGCAGCCAGAGAACATGATGCCTGAGAGTCTTTGTAAGTGAATATAGTTTTCCCCATTAAAGTATATCTCCTTTTTTGTATTATTAATATAATGTTATTTCTGTCAGTTTTCTGTTCACGTAATGAGGTATTTGATGAGAAGAGGGACAGTTCAGATTTGGCTGGAATCTATTCGGCATACTTGTCTCAACAATTATCAGATTCTTCAAAGTTCAATTCATTACTTGGAGCACTAATTATGGAACCAGGTAACCTACATATATTACCATTATAAATCAATTCCTTTATCTCATTTTGAAAATGCCTTTTCAGATGAGGTTTTAAGACTAATTCATGAGATGGAGAATGTCACGATCAAAAATATCAATCATGTTGGGATTCTGGGTTGTGGGTGGGATGGGAAAGATATTAGGTCATATATAATAAGCCTGTGTACCTCCGATGGAATTACAGCATTGGTGTTCCAGGATTTTTATCTCCGGAGTGTTTATGACTCTGGTTATGTACACGTGAGTAGCTTAACTAACAACAACTGCCGTTTCCTTTACTAATTGTTTTATCATATATCCTGGGAATTGTTATATAGTAATACAAGGTGCTGGAGGAATGCATATGGTGGATCCTCTCTTCCAACGAGTACTTGTGAAAGAATGCAAAAGGCAAAAGATTCCCGTCATCTTTGATGAGGTTTTTACTGGTTTTTGGCGCTTGGGTTGTGAGGTACCTAGCCATTCATCTTATTAAAATTTCATTTTCTGGCTGGAACCAATAACATTGTAAGTGTAATTCAAACTATCGGTTCCTTATAGACTGCTGCAGAGCTGCTTCATTGTGCACCTGATATAGCCTGCTTCGCAAAGCTGATGACCGGTGGAATTATTCCGTTATCTGCTACGTTAGCTTCAAACTCTGTATTTGAATCCTTTATTGGTGACTCTAAGGTAATTTCCGCCAGGGGTGCGATTATTATCAACTATGTCTCTTTGTTATCGTTTGTCTATGATACGAACATCGTCTAATGCCAGTTTATTTTGATTATTTGAACTTTTCCCAAGGCAGCATTCTTATGAATTTCCAATTAGTTCTAGTAGTGCTCGATCAAAATTTATCTGCAGACTTCTGAATGTGGTTGATGTGTATGATTCCATTATGATCTGCGTGGCGTCCCTTAAATCTCTAATCATAGCTGAAATATGCTTGCTCGTACAATTTACGGTATCTACGAATCGGTTAAAATCCCTTTTTCATTTTCATTTTATAGCTTGAGGCCCTTTTGCACGGACACTCGTATTCTGCTCATGCTTTGGGCTGCACGGCTGCTGCTAAGTCCATTAAATGGTTTAAAAATCCTCAGACGAACCAGAATATCAATTCTGAAGGGAAATCGCTCAGGGAGGCAAGTGCAATCATATTTTTATTTTGTTCTCAGTTGACTCAATACAAGGTCATGTTATACTTCGAAGGTCTTGCCAAAATTCTTTTGCTTTCTTGATTCATTTGTTCTTTGACGCTTACAGTTATGGGATGAAAATTTGGTTCACTTGATCTCATCACATCCTGCGGTGAATAGAGTAGTCGCATTGGGAACACTCTTTGCTCTAGAACTTAAAGCATATGGCCCTGATGCCGGGTATGTTCGAGCCTCCTCATCTACTTAAGTTTTTCTTTTAGCATTGTTACCTGACTTATTGCGATAGATGTCCCCTGCTATGCATCTGTCTTCCAAATAATAGTGCCATACGTTATATTTGGATCTTTGAATCCGAAGGGTACATCAAAGAATAAGAAAATTCAACCTGACATTCTGTTTGCTGGTTAAATTATGCCTTTTATAGCCGTCCCAAACAAATTTCCTATTTCACTAGGAGTTATGATATGTGGGTCAGTGAGTGAATAGAGGTTGATATCTTAAGTTGATTGGTTTTGAACAGGTATGCATCCCAGTATTCAAGATCTCTTCTATTAAAGCTTCGGGAAGATGGGATTTATATGAGGCCATTGGGCAATGTCATATACCTTATGTGCGGGCCCTGCACAAAACCAGATATCTGCAGCCAATTACTCATCAAGCTCCGTACCAGATTGGATGAGTTTATCAGCGAGTCCGCCGAAAGCTTGAAATCCTGTCATTCATGAAAGACGGCAATACCACTATTCTGTTGGGCGTTTTTGGTCGCTCTATTAGTAATCTTTTAATGTAGTTAGTGCAGTAGTAGCTCATGTTGCAAGCCTGATTGATTGAAATGTCTTATGAATTTTGACTTAGCTTGAAACTTTTCTTATTGGTTGTCATCTCAAAAGAACAGTGAGAACAGGGTATTATCAATTTTTCAAATCTTGACTTTCAAGGTGAGAAATGAAAATAGTAACATTTAGGTTGAAATGTAATAGCTGTTTACTTGCCTGTCCTATGTCCATATACAACGCAAAGTTTTCGGTGGTCCCATGTTTATTGCATTACCGAAGTTCACAACACTCCATCTGTGATCTATCATCTATGCAGAACTGACTTTTTAGGCCTAATCTCTATCCCTTGAACGATGAGGCCACACTTGGAATAATTGCAATTAACCTCCTTCAGAACCATCTCAACTTCATCATCTCCACCATTATTATGGAACTCTCCCATCTCGATTTCAAACCAACCGTCATGTCTCTCCTTTGGCAGCGCCATCCCTGACATGTTAATTCCAGGCGCATGGGTTTTGCTTCCCATCCATCGTAAGCGTTGGCGATGTCCAGGCGTATTGCTTCCCATCCATACTAAACGTTGGCGCTTCCGTTGAGAGTTGTCTAAATAAGGGTCCAAACCCACACTAATGGTGCAGCATTCACCGCCAACGATTCCCACCTTGGCATCAGCAGGAACTATATCGAACCCATAATATCGTTCATTCATTTTAAACACGAAGTAAGCTGCATAAGTTGTTGCAGCGGACAACATTTTGCAGCTTATCTTTCCACGTAACTCAACCCACCACGCCTGGAGGAGAACAGCCACCTCCCCGAACCTGATTCTCACACCCACATTAAAAGGACAAAGTAAATATTAGAAGCAGAAGGAAAAGAAACAAGTTAAGGGGATTTGAGAGTTAAACCTCGACTCAGGATGTGATATCCAAGTCCAATAGTCAGGGGTGTCGGTCCAAATAATCTTCAGGTCCCTTGCTCCAAGCATTATGCATTTTTTACCACTCCATTTGTCCAATGAAAAGCTCTGCCAAACGCCATCCATTGAACCCACTCAGCTTAAAAAGATGTACTTATGAACTTATGAACCAATTTATACAATCAAATAATCCGTACCTTGAAACTTTACCAAGGGAAGATACCAAAACCTTCACAGATTGACTAGAATACAAGAAATTTGATAATTTCGACAGCTTTTGTTGAAATTTAAACGTTAAAATAACCCAGTAGCTCAAGCATAGTATGTATAAATCCCAGATCATACTTCTCTACGGATTCATATTTGTACATGCAGAAACAGTATATATGTGGGATCCTAACAACAGAGGCCCTTTTTATTTGATTAAACAAGCATCTTATTAACTTTGATCAGATTAAGCAGGAAAGAACCAAATTTATAAGCTTCAACTTTTCACCAATGAATAACGAACTTTGAAAATAATTTTTTTGGCGAAGGTATTCGAAAAGAACGCCTCAGAGGAAAAGAACTTCTGATCCGACGATGGGCACAGGCGGAGGAGTAGGAGATGGATAGCAAATTAGAAAAATTAGGGGAATCAGAAAGGTTACCTTGTTGCCGTCATCAATCAGCAGTGGGCAGTCGCAGAGGGAGAAAAAGATCTCCTTTTTCGAACTGGAAATTGGATCAAAATTCAGGTCACTGGTTTTCCTCCGAGAAACCAAAGATTCCCAATCGATGGGCAGGAAGTTGTTCCATAAGATGTCCGACTGCGCCGCCGCATGGAAAGTCCCCGAAACCGCCGACGATCTGCAGGCATCCGATGGAGTCGTCAGCGACAAGATGTTAGCCACGACTCCTTCTGGCATCGAAGATAAATAAATAATTCCTTCGCTCTCTTCTTCTTCCATCTTTCTTAGCCGTCTGAATGAGTAATGAATTTTACGTTCGGGGACAAATGGATAATATATCTATTCTCCTTCCAACCTACGCCAACATCCAACCATTAATTATATATATATTTGAACAAATTAAAAATTGTCTCTATCCGGGGCTTCCCTTAATATGTCATCAAATTTGAGGCATCCTAGTAGGAAAGCCGATCACTAGTGAAGAGATAAAAGCAAGTAAGAAAAGGTCCATCCCCTTTTTATTTACAAGTAGAGCACTCAAAGTACCCTAGGGTTAATTTAGAGAGGAGCTAACGACTTTCGAAGTTATTAGTAAATGCTAAAGCACCCCTCCTTAAGAGAAGTAGAGGAAAAAAAAATTGTGATTCTTTAGGTTGCAGATTACCTTATAAGATCTACTTTCTTGAACTAGTATGAGCGGTCTAAACTTCTATCATGATTTCTTTCTTTCTTCATATTTGTAAAAAGGGGAGGAAATTTTGAGGCAACCCTGATTTCTTTGTTTTTGAGGCAAAGCAAGACGTTCTATGTCTTACAATGTTAAGCAGCTAGCATTCTTGTCATGCTGAACCCCTCAATTCCTGGTGGCAAAGTGGGCGAGGCAATCATATTCTCGACGAGGCAGCTGCCACTCTCTGTAAGTTAGCAATCCTCTCTCTCAAGTGTAGCAACCTCATCCGACACCTTCCCTTCCAAACTCCCTTGAATCACACCCATGTACTCTTGAAGTATAAAGTCAGTCGGCCAGCTCTCTATCTTTTATCTTGTTAAGCCAAAGAAAGAGGAAAAGAAAAGTTCCCATTGCTGTGTATTTAGAACAATTCATTTCACTGAAATTTTTTTTGAGGAAAAAAATTCGATCTTTACCCTAAACTACAAGGTGTATAAACGTTGAAATTGATTGAAATTTGAAACTAGGCATCTAGTTTCTTGAAGTTGTAACAATCTATGCAGGGTTCATTTTGGGCCTAATATCTATACCCTGAACAACGAGGCCACTCCTGGAATCAATACACTTAACCTTCTTAAGAATGATCTCTACTTCTTCATCTCCACCATCAATACGAAACTCTCCTAACTCAGTTTCAAACCAACCGTCATGTCTCTCCCTCGGCTGCTCCAACCTTGATACATTGCACCCTGCTCGTGGTACGCGTCGGCCTCGCTGATGAGGATGGTCGAAATAAGGGTCCAAACAAACGCTCTTCATATAGTGTTCACTACCAACAATGCCCACCATGGCATCGACTGGATCTATATTGAACCCAAAGTATCTACGTTCCCTCGTCCTGAACACAAAGTAAGCTACATATGTTGTTGCAGGAGACAACATTCTACTGCTTATCTTTCCACGGATTTCAAGCCACCACGCCTTGAAGATGACAAGTACTTCTGTGAACCTGATTCTCACACCCACATTAAAAGGCAAAGTATCAGAATTGGGATCAAGATAAAAAGTGGGATTTGAGCCAATCGTTTAAGCTTAAAACCTTGACTCAGGATGAGATTCCCAGGCCCAATAGACAGAGGTATCGCCCCAAACAATTGATAGCTCCCTTGCTCCAAGCATTACGTATTTCTTACCACTCCGTTTGTCCAAAGAGATGCTCTGCTACATACCAATGATTGTACCCACTCAAATTATGTGCATACAAAGAACAACTGAACAGAAGCTTCGTTAATTCAATGTGCCAAAAGATGGGCACATGATCATAATGTCATTCTGTTCTTTGAGAATCAAATCTGGACCTAAAATTGGAGTCGGCGGAAGCTTAATTCTCCCAAACAAAACTTTTTCATATCACAGTTCATGTTTTCTGGATTTTGAGTAAACCTTTTCAAGGATTATCACAAAAGTTTTTGTAGGAATCGAAATAACTTCGAAAGTTTATGTTAAAAATCGAGCGTGTCTATAAAAACCGAGCACGACGGCGAGGCTAGAGTAACACTTGTCTCCGCCGACAACTCACGCAACTCCGGCCACCATTAATTTAGAGAAATTGGGGGAATCAAAAAGCGTACCGTGTAGCCATCGTCAATTAGCAGTGGATTGTTGCAAAGGGAGAAAAAGATCTCCTTCGTCGACCATGTAGTCGGATCAAAATTCAGGTCATTAGGTTTACGCCGAGAAATCAAATCTTCCCAATTGGTAGGCAGGAATCTCTCCCACACGATATCGGACTGCGCCGCCGCATGGAAAATACGGGAAACCGCCGATGACCTGCAGGCATCGGATGGAGTCGTCAGAGACAAGATGTTAGCAATTGCTCCTTCTGGCAGAGAAGAGAAATCCGCAATTTCTCCGTCCTCCGTTCCCGTCCTCGTTTCATCCTCGTCCATGATGAATCAGGAACAGAACTCTATTTCACTGTTTCTTAAAACAGAAAAATAGCGGCGAAGGGATAGTTTTGTTCGAGTGATGTTCTACAGATATTAATTGATTTTATTTATCGTCATCTTTTATCGAATTCTATAGCCAATCAACTTTTTGAGAGCTATTACTAAAAAAGAAATTATTAAAAAAAACATTATTTTAGGCCTAAAATAAATGAAACACAGTAACTGGTTTTTTCAAACCTCTGGATAAACAAAAGCAAGCCAATAGCAAAACCATGGCTTTAATCAATCAAAGCATCTATGCAAGAACAGAGGTGGGTTTAGGCCTAATCTCAATCCCCTCAACGACAAGCCCAGTCTTGCGTGTGCCGCCCTTCACCTCCATAAGATCCATCTCAACTTCATCATCTCCATCGCCACTTTCAAACTCCCCCAACTCGATTTCAAACCACCCATCCTGTCTCTCCTTCGGCTGCTCTAACCCTGACGACATTTCCAATGAATGGTCCATCAACCATGGTGCAAGCCGCAGATGAGAGTTCTCCAAATCAGGGTCCAAACAAACTGTTTTCGGATCGCTTTCCGTGCCAAGAATTCCCGCCCTGACTTCAGCAGGATCAAAATTGAACCCTCGGTATTCATCTTCATTCATCTTGAACACCAAGTAAACACCATAAGTTGTTCTACGAGTCAGTATTCTGCAACTCATTCTTCCACGGATTTCAAGCCACCACACCTGGAGGAGTACAGCCACCTCTGCAAACCTGATTCTCACACCCACGTTCAAATGGCAGAGTTTTAGAATTGGGAGGGGAAAAAAAAAATTAAGATATAATCTCATATAGACTTTGAACCTCGAATCAGGATGATGTTCCCAGGTCCAATACTCAGGGGTATCACTCCAAACGATCGTGATGTTCCTTGCTCCAAGCATTATGCACTTCCTACCAGTCCATTTCTCCAATGCAAGGCTCTTCAGCATGCCAATGATTTATGTGCATACAAATAGAAAGTGCAAAATAGCTTCATTGTTGATTCAACAAGTGGAATAAGATACACAAATGAATCAGTGGCTTTTCGTTCTTTATGAATCAGACTGGTTTAAGTGTCTGTTCATACAGTTAAACAATAATCTGGGACTGAAATTTGCGTCAGCAGAAGCTTAGTTCGTACACTAAACTCAATGTAAAAGATAATTTAGAACAAGATTAAAGCCTAGAAACTAACAACTTACATACTAATAATATTGAATTAGCTTTATTTTAAAAAGAAAACTTGATAACATCTGAAAGTATAAGAGCCATTCATTCGGTTATAGACTTTATTAAATCAAAATGAAAAGAAATTAGTTACTTAAACTTCATACATTAGATTTTATTTATTTATTTATTTGTCTTTTCAAAAGGGGGATTCTGGATATCGAACATTCACTAAAATGCATATGAAGCGAACTCTGTTTAAAGATTAACTGTAAAAGTTTTTGTTGAAATCCAAGATTGATTCAAAAGAAAACTTGGGTTCGAGGTTTTTAGCAATCGTTTAGAATGTATTTATATTCTAAAATTACATGTAAAAGTAAAATCTAAGATGCTATAGTGAATAATAATATGATCGTATAAGATAAAAAATAAAGGGAACTCCGATGATGTTAGGGCTGGAATAAGAGTTGTGTCGACCGACCACCGATCAAACTCCGGCCACCGCCAATTTAGAGAGTTAGGGAATCGGAAAGCTTACCTTGTCGCCATCGTCAAGTAGCATTGGGCTGTCGCAAAGGGAGAAAAAAATGTTCTTCGACGAACTGGAAATTGGATCAAAATCCAGGTCATCGGATTTACATCGAGAAATCAGTACGTCCAAATCGGGAGGCAGGAATCTGTTCCACACGATGTCGGACTGCGCCGCCGAATGGAAAATCCGGGAAACCGTCGAGGCCCTACAGACATCTAATGGAGTGGTCAGCGACAAGATGTAAGCGATTACTCCTTCCGGCAGAGAAGAGAGATCGGCAGCTGCCGTCCTCATTTCTTCTTCCACTGGATTTCTCTGGTACAGTCAATATTTTGTGGAAAGAAACCTGCATGCATATATACGGAATATTTCGCTCGATTTTGGTAAGTAGTCAATTCACTCTCTTTCGCTAAAATCTATCTCCGGTTGCTTCGAGACTAAGCTTTAGCAGAATTTCAATCTAATGGGCCCATTCATTGGGCTTGTTTGTTAATGGCCCATTAATTGGGCTTGTTTGTTAATGGCCCAGTTTGCTCGATGGGCCAAAATAAAATAGTTTTACACTATTTATCATTCCAAATTTAATATGACTCCAAAATCTTTGCATTAATAAAGAGGACAGAAGAGATTATCTACGTTAAACAAAAAAAAAAAAAAAAAAAAAAAATCGAGCACCTCATTTACTATTTCCTAAAAAAACATATTTTTATGAATAGAAGAAAAAATTGATAAGAGTCATTATTATTATTATTATTATTATTTACATAGTGATTAAATAGGAAGAAATATGTAATATAGATTAAAAAGGCCTCTTGCCCCAATCGCAGGCGGCGACCAAAAATGACTTCAGATCTGAGGACGACGAAAAAGTTCTAATCCGCTGTCTGCTGACACAGAGATATTGGAATCTGGAGAAGCCACGTGGCAGTCTCTATATTTTTCTTAAACATCAGTGGACTTGGAGAGAAGATCATCACGGGACTGCGCAGCAGCGGATTATTACTGACTCGAGTGCTTGGTCCCAGGGTCGAGACTTGGGATATTAGTCGTTCTCTCTCTCTACCCCACACACACACACACACACACACACACACACACAAAAAAAAAAAAAAAACCCTCTCTTAGGATTGTCTCACTTGTATCGGTGTTATTATTGTTTTTGATTTTCCCGGTAAATCGGGATAATTTAGAGGGAAGTAGGAGATATACTTGAGAAACTTTACAGTAAGTGCACTATTATTTCTGCGAAATTTCCAGGATAGAGCTGGATGTTCGTTGTTGGACTATTTTGAATTTTGGGGGTTCTTTAGATTCTCTGGCTGTGTCACTGTGGTTAGGGTTTGTTTGTCGTTGGCGGCTTTGTGATTTCTATCAGTTGTCTTGAATCAACTTCTGATTTTGGTGTGCAGTAGATCTGGGAAGCTTGGACTTTCTCTAGAGATTTGAGATGCAGAGGCAGACAAGATATATGGAGAGGACGAACTCCATGAGAGAAAAAAGGGGCTTGGAGGGTGGAGATGATGAGCTGCCGGAGCGAAAGCGACCAGCTCTAGCTAGGTATATCATTTATTTTTGGATTCACTTGTGTTCTGATCCATGGGTTCTTTTCTTTTTCTGTTCTCTTCTTTCCCCCTCCCCTTTACAACTTAATTTAGCTAGCGGTGAGAAGTCAAAATATAACTCTGTAGGTCGGTGCTATACCTCTGCTTACCCTTTCTGATCTTCAATTTAATCACTTGGACTTTTAGTTAGATGTCATGATAATGAGGTAGATGAGCGGAGTGGCTGCTTTGCTTGGGTTTATTATCTTTTTTGGCTAACTGTTTGCTTGATGAGAGTTGAGACCATGGTTCCTTTTTTCTAAAGGAAGAACCTTGACCTCTGCTTTATCTACGGTTATTTCTGTAATTATTCAGATTATCTTTTTTGTATTTTTTATAATTAATTCACATGATCATATCAATTCATTCTCAATAAAAGGTCATATAATTCAAATGTTCAACGCTTTTATGGATCTTTATTACTGGACAGTGTGATTGTAGAAGCCCTGAAAGTGGATAGTTTACAAAAGCTCTTCTCATCAATGGAACCAATACTCCGTAGAGTGGTAAGATGCACCGTTTCTATATTCTGTTATGGCTACATAGTAAGACTGTGTGAATGAGAGTAGTATTTAGTTGGGTGTTAGCTTGGGAAGTGTTGTATGCTTGGTAGTATAAATTATCTAGTTTACTTGTAGCAACGCTAAGGATAATACTGATTCCCTTCCAGTATGCTTTTTATGTTTTTTCATAGACATGTCTGCTTGTGCTTTTATTATGTTTTAGCATGACAGTAATCTGTTTATCATTGGCTAAATGTACTAACACGTAATTGAAGTCTGGATTTTTCATTTCCATCAAAGTTTATATTCCTTCTATTTTAGTTTGTCACTTTTTAATTCTAAAATTTTGTAAAATTCTTAGTTTTGATTATCTGGTTTCCTTATTTGATCCCATCTTCTCTTTCTACTCTAAAATTTTATATTTTGCAATACATTATTCTGATTGTTCTGATGGTGTCAAATAGGTTAGTGAGGAAGTGGAACGTGCTTTGGCTAAGATAGGTCCTGCTAGAATTACTGGAAGGTAACTATGAATCCATGGATTTTGTGACATTTCCAATAATTTATTTTTGCTTCATGCTGTAGATATTGTAATACTATAAATTATTCTTCACCTACTATTTATTTTCAGTTGAGATATTGCTTAAAATCTTAAATATATTTAGAACCACATTTACAAGAGTTTAAACGTTTTTTGGTCCTTGTACCTTGGTGCACCACTTACAGGAGTTGTTGCTTTGTAGCAAAGTAGATCTACTGTTAGCTGTTTTGATTTAATCAAAACTATTTATGACAGTTACATGCTTTCTCTATGTTTGTGGGTCTGATCATTTTCCTACTCTAATATGATTACCTTTTGCTTAAAAAGATCGTGTGATTTGTGAAGATATTAATCTTTTCATGCCGTTTGCTTAAAGGGTTGTGTGATATGTGAATATAATAATGTTGTCAATGTTCCAATGGTGGGATGTTCTTGAGTTTTGAAACTACATGTGCTAGTGTGATGTCCCACATTGGTTGGGGAGGAGAACAAATCACCATTTATAAGGGTGTGGAAACCTTCCCCTAGTAGACGCGTTTTAAAGCCTTGAAGGGAAGCCCGAAAGGGAAAGCCCAAAGAGGACAATATCTGCTGGCGGTGGATCTGGGTCGTTACAAATGGTATCAGAGCTAGTCACCGGACGATGTGCCGGCCTTCTCGCTGTTCCTCAAAGGGGGTAGACACGAGGCGTGTTCCAGTAAGGACGCTGGGCTTCGAAGGGGGTGGATTGTGATGTCCCACATTGGTTGGGAGGAGAACAAATCACCATTTATAAGGGTATGGAAACCTTCCTCTAGTAGACGCGTTTTAAAGCCTTGAGAGGAAGCCCGAAAGGGAAAGCCCAAAGAGGACAATATCTGCTGGCGGTGGATATGGGTTGTTACAGCTAGGTAAGAGCTGTGTTACATCTCAGCCATGTCTAATTTTTCAATCACTATTTGGAATCCGACAATGTTGTTGTCATGAAAACTGTTCATCTTCCCCAATTATGTGTTTACTACTATACTCTAGTGCTGAAGTCTTTTATGCATCCATGGGACGTCATAATGCTCCACATCAGACAAATGCTCTCTGTCTGTTTTTTAATTTCCCTTCTAATCCTGTTTAATTCTATCTAAAGGTAATAAGGATTCTTGGTGATTAACTTAGTTGTGTTAATAAGTTCATTCTATAGGTAGAGAATTAACTAGTAATTCTATTCTTATTATGCTTAACTTCGATTTTCTCTTTATGATCTACTATTATGATCTAACACTTTTTACTCACAGGTCTTCTCCTAAAAGGATTGAAGGCCCTGATGGAAGAAACTTGCAACTGCATTTTAGGTCTAGATTGTCTCTTCCCCTGTTCACTGGAGGGAAAGTGGAAGGTGAACAGGGTGCAGCAATCCATGTTGTTCTGCTTGATGCCAACACAGGTCATGTAGTAACATCTGGACCTGAATCCTTGTCAAAATTGGACATTGTGGTTCTTGAAGGTGATTTTAACAATGAAGATGATGAAGATTGGACGGAGGAAGAATTTGAAGGTCATGTGGTAAAAGAGCGCGAAGGAAAGAGGCCTCTATTGACCGGTGACCTGCAGGTTTCCCTCAAGGAAGGTGTTGGAACGCTAGGGGATTTGACCTTCACAGATAACTCAAGTTGGATTAGGAGCAGAAAGTTCAGACTCGGGTTAAAGGTGGCTTCAGGATTTTGGGATGGTGTTCGTATTCGTGAAGCAAAAACTGAGGCTTTTACAGTTAAAGATCATCGAGGAGAACGTAGGTTCATGCTTTATCATTTTTAATTCTGTCATTTAATAGAAAGATGGAGGGAAAAAAAAAAAGGAAAAGAAGATATGAGTATATAATTTCTTAAATCTTTGTTTTATTTTGCAGTGTATAAAAAACATTACCCACCTGCATTAAACGATGATGTGTGGAGATTAGAGAAGATTGGAAAGGATGGTTCCTTTCACAAACGACTAAATAAAAGTGGAATAGTCACCGTCGAAGACTTTCTTCGACTGGTAGTTCGAGATTCTCAAGGACTACGAAGTGTAAGTGATGTTGTTCATTCTGTTTCTTATTTAAAAATATAATAATTAAAGAAAAGACTGTTGTCACTTATCTCTTCTTTATTCTTATCCCCTATAACTCTTCAAATTTTTCCTGTTTGTAGATCCTTGGAAGTGGTATGTCAAATAAGATGTGGGAGGCTCTCTTAGAACATGCTAAGACCTGTGTCCTGAGTGGGAAGTTGTATATTTATTATCCAGAGGAAACCAGAAATGTTGGTGTTGTTTTTAACAATATCTATGAGCTCAACGGCCTGATTGCAGAGGAACAATACTTTCCTGCTGATTCTCTGTCTGAGAGCCAGAAGGTAATTTCAAAACACACGTTTTTTGTGCTTCTATGCGTGTAATATATATGTGAAAAACACTTGTAAAGAGTTGTAAAAATCATTTCTCCGTTTGGATGTTTCCCATTTCTGTTATTGAAAAAAAATTCTTTAGCTGGTTTTGCCCGATCATGGTTCTTAACTTAAGAATGAAAAAGCGTGGTCTGTCTTGCTTGAATTTGGTGTTAGCAAGATTTTTCTACAAATTTTCCTCCTGTCTGTGGGAGGCTAGTTTCCAGAATGCACCATGCCAGGGATCTTTCCCCTTAATTAATACCCTCTTTGACAACTTAGAATTATTGTATTATATCTGTT